GGCTATTCATGTTGTCTCCTCTTGTCTGTCCCCCATGCCCACAGTAGCCTCCTTTTCCTCTAAATATAATGCTAATCATAAAATACCAATTTTATAAACCTGTTGAATCCGGTTACTATACCGGATTCAACAGGTTTAGGAAGGTCTTTTCAAGACAAAATCATTATAATAATTAAAATTATTTTTTAATTTCAAATCTAAAATTTTTTGATCGCGTTATGGAAACTGAAGGAAATTATAGACTTTTATTTCTATCGGCACATATATCCACATTTTAAAAAGTCCTAATTGAAAAAATAAACAGAAATTTTTTCTCTATATACATCGATTAACAAATAACAAAGTTGCTTTACTCCAATATGGACAGGTCCCTAGAAAATATAGCTATATTTTGAAAAGAATTCGTTCTTGAATATTTGGCCTATATATTCATGACGCCATGTAATCATATCGCTGGTTCAAAACTAAAACGACACTTCTGCACTCACTTCTCATTCAAATAACATGAGAAGATAATGCAGAAGTGTCGATTTAGTTTTGAACCAACGATATGTGGCAAAATTATGACAAAGAGTAATAGTTTTTTTTTATGAAAGAAAAATGAGAAAAAGTCAAAACATATTTGCTAATTAAAAAAAAATTCTTTTTAATGGTTTGTCATGGCAATAAATTTTAATTGCTACGGATTTCTAAGCTAATGTTCATAGTTTTTTTATTAAATTAAATGCGTTTTTTTATTAAATAAAATATGATTTTCTTTATATAAAACAAAGATTCCATTTCATTTTTTAATGAAAACAAAGTTGTTAAAAACCCTAAAAATTCGAAGTTCCAATTTAAAAAATTTAAAGGTCTTAATAATTTAAAAAATACAAAATAAGAACAAAATCCATGCTCACAATAAACAGTAAAATTATCAATTAAAGTACTATACAAATTAAATTTTATATACGAACATAAAAAAAAGCAATTTTTATGTTACCATTCTTATAAAAGAATTCTAACAGTATATAAATATAAAATTTAAATGTATTAAATGAGTTAATGCAAACATTTACTTACCTCCTTATAAATAAATTTACATTTGGTTTTCTTGTTTTCCAAGGAAAATTTTTATTAAGAATGGGAATTATTGATATCACGATTTATGTTTGAAAAAATGAAGTTGCAAATAATTTTAAAAACTCTTAATTAAAGTTAAATTTTAATTTCAAAAATTGAACAAAACAAAAGGTAACAGAAAATTTATATCTCAATTAAAAATGGTTAATTTAAATGACGCAATTAAATGAGTTAAAAACTGGAATTTAACTGCAACGTTTTACGTTTGTCTCAGAAAAAATCTCTTGACAAAATGACCTAAGTAAATGTTAACAAGAGTCATCCCCTTGGATTCCTTAAAAGCTTACATCTGTTTTCCTAGAACATCTAGATAATTTCTAGTTTAAGACAACTTAAGGGACATATAGATGGTACTGTAAATATATGACATTTTATAAAAGCACAAAAGAGCCCAGGGTCATAAAAATGATTAAGGCAATTTAAAGAAGGAAAAGGTCATTTTCCCATGGTGTAAAAGGAGATGGCTATTTTTTGAGGAGTCAGATAACTGTGGGTCAACTCTGTGGGGGGTATGAAGGTTTTAACACCTTCATACCACCCACAGTCAAAAGATGCTTTCAAATATATCTATTAGTCTCAGTGTAGAATGCATTTTTCAGGATGCAAAACAGTGGTGCTTATTTTAGTTTTCTAAACACTTGTTATGTTTTTTTATGATGTGCTCCTCTTCTCTTTTCGTGATTTTCTTTTAAATTTTTTTAATAAATTGAAACTTGTAATATGTAGAAAAAAATTGAAACAAAACCGAAGCATTTTTCTTGGGGGGCGATTTCTATTTCAATTTGAAAAATAGCTATCAAATTGGGAAAAAAAGTAATTTCTTTTTCTGAAATTCTCAATTCTGTTTTACTTTATTATTGCGAATGTCAAATTTTCGGAAGGGGAGGCTAAAGTTTTCAATTTTGGAAAATAGCTTTAAAGTCGAAAATAAGAGTTAAATATAAATTTCACTCGACTTTATTCTTGCGAATGTCTGAAATTCAGAAGGGGTGAAGTATATTCTTCACCTCCTCACTTTAAGAAGAAAATAAAATTTTCTTTTTGAAAAATAGCTTCAAAGTTTTTTTTTTTTTAAAAAAAACAATTTTACTGGACTTTATTATTTCAAATGTCTAAATTTCTGAAGATACAAAAAGTTTTTAGCCCCCCTTACCTTATATCAGAAGAAATTAAAGTTTTCTATACCCTTACTATAATTTAAGAGGAAAATGAAGTTTTTTATTTTAAAAATATCGTCGAAATTGTGAAAATTTTCAACTTTACTTGATTTTATTCTATTAATGTCCAAATTTCAGAAAATGAGAAGCAAATTTTTCGCCCCCTTACTTTTATTTCAGAAGAAAATAAAGCTTTCTATTTGGAAAATAGATTCAAAAATAACATTTTTTTTTAGTTACCAATTTTTATTATTTTTTAACACTTTGAAATTTCAGAAGGGGCGAAAAACTATGTTCGCCCCCTCATTACTATTTCGGTAGAAAATAGAGTAAAAGTTGGAAATAAAATACTTTTTCTACCTTTACTTTACTTTTTCAAAAGTCAAAAAACATATTAATCGCCCATAACAGAATAACTTGATGTATATCTTCAAAGCTGAAAAAGAATAGCCTTTTTTTTCCTCTAAAATTACCTATTTTACTAGACTTCGTCTTGGCGAATAACTAAATATCAGAAGAGGCAAGACACATAAATGTTAGAGGAATATAAAGTTTTCTATTTCAAAAATAGCTTCAAAATTGAAAAAAATCCTTTATTTTAAATTACTGATTTTACTTGACTTTATTTTTGTGAGTGTCTAAATTTCAGGAGGGGTGAAACGCATCGTTTGCCCCATCATCTAAATTTTAGAGGGGCCCTCTGCCACCGGGTCTGACGCAATCAACTACATGCAGCTGTGGCCTTTCCCCTTCTCTGCAAAGCGTGTTTGTTCTTTTAAGAAAGGGAAATAATTTGTGAAAAGGTGTTTTACCGTTTTTTACCCTTCCCTTTATGTTATAGTAGGTACGCAATTACAAAAAAGAAAATTTTCATCAACACTATCTTAACACAATTTCTTTCCTACATATATATAATTAGAGTGCTTTATTTTGAAAGAAAAAAAAACATGATGTGGTCTCTTCATATGGGGCCCCTTTGATCGTCGGGGCCCCGGGGCGGTGCCCCGGCTGCTCCGACGTAGTTACGGCCCTGCCCTACACTGATGTTTTTTTAAGGTTCACTGCCCTGTATACCCTACACTGATATTTTTTTAAGGTCAAATATCATTGCCCGGTATATATTTGCTCGATACTCCAAACACTGATGTTTCTTCTAATCGATCGTTAGTAGTAAGTATTAAAATATAGAATAAATGTAATTCTATCCACGAATAAGTTAATATCAAATCGGATGTAATAAATTATTTAGGACATTCACCAAAGCGACTATGTGATGTCTACATTCACCGATGAAAGTCAACAACCACCGATTTCGGTCATTCACAGTAACATGCACATCATTTACATAGTAACCTCATTAGGACGTTTATTTCATACTTTGCCTAATAGCACCGGCATTATATCTGGCCTAGGCAATGTGTGAAATATAAATCATTTCATACTTTGCCGGCTAGTTTTAGGCATTATATATAATGCCAGATTTCATACTTGGCCGGTAACACATACATAAAATATGGTCTTGATTTACAATGAAATTTTCTGGAAATGTCAAGCAATTTTTTTTTCTGAAATTAGACGGAGACCCTGGAAAAAAATGTGTATTAAGACGGTAATTACGAAACAACCTATTATATCAATAAAAAAATTTAAAAAAACGGACCACCCTGAATAACTTGATTTAATGATCGGATCTTCACGTTCTAGGACTCAATTTTAATGGATCGAGGGATTGACCTTAAATATGGTGATTAAAGTGCAGACGATATTTTAAGTTACGAAATCCGACAAAAAACGTACTTTTTCTGAATAAACATACCTTTTTTTTTCGACGGATTTGGATTTCTGACCTCCAGAATATGGTCCGCTTCCCCTTAGTTTGGTCCTCTTAATGTTAATTTTACTTTTAGCGTATTTCGTTATATCTCGAGAATTTTTTAAGTGAATTGAAAAATTTTTGAGCACCATCATAAAATTCGTTTTTTCAAAGATAATTCTATACAAGAAATAAATTTTAGTAAGAATTTATTATTTTATTTTGTAAAAATCGAAAAAAATTAAGGTTCACAATTTTTACGTCATTTTCTAAAGTATGCAATTTTACATGGCAAAATATAAAATTTGAGATAAATTGATATTTAACTATGCGACTTTTTTTAAAATTCGAATTTTGTATGTAAAATTACATACTTTAAAATGATGTAAAAAACTTAGCAACTCAAAATTGTTTCGACTATTATTTAATAAAATAATCAAAAATAAATATTTTCTAAAATTTATTACTTGCATGGAATTATTTTTGGATAAACGAATTTTATAATTGTGTGCAAAGATTTTTTTAATTCATTGAAAAAGTTCTTGGGAGACATGGCGAAATACGCAAAAATTAGCATTTAGAGGCCCAAAATTTGGACCGCTCTCCTGATCAAACTATTGGGACTGTATTTCTCAGATTGTGAATCCCCATATTTTGGGATCCGATTCCATTAAAAAAAAATGTGTGTTTATTCAGAGAATGTACGTTTTTTGTGTCTAATTTCTTAACTAAAAATATTGTCTGCACTTAATTAGTATATTTAAGGTCCAGGTCACACTATCGAATCATCAAGATTGGGTACTTTGGAACTTGAAGATCCCATCATTAAATCACAAGGTGTTCGTGTTTTGTTTTGCGCACTGTACATTAGAAGAAGGACTTAAAGATAAATTTCTTCGAATACATACCGCCATAATAACATCCAGTAGCAACAGTCCAAGAAGTCCAGCATGCATAGACTTTGCCAGGAAATCTATTCTTGAGTTACATCCCTATTGAATATTAATATATTTGTAAAGGAAATAAAATATTGAGCCTGATTTTTTTTTACAGAAACTTTCGTACAAACTATGCTAGCTTCCTGCTCTGCTCATAAAGAAAAGAGTGGCGTAAAAAAAAAAAAAAATTGTTCGATCTTCTGCCATATGAATTATACTCAAGTAAGTCTTATTTTTATAGGTTTTTTTCCAGTAGAGTTTTTACAAGCCTTTTTATCTGTTTCGTTCTAACGATAGAAGTTCGTCGAACTTGTAAAATAGTATGTATTTTTTTTAATCAGTTAAAGTATTAAAATAACGAAATTTGGTGTTAATTCGTTACTTATTATAAGGAGTGAAAAGATGGTCTGTGTCACGTCAAGTTTGGCTGCAAAAACGGCTGTAGGTATGTAACAAACAAAAAAACTGTACTGGTAATGTAGCTACACATATTATTATACTACTGTTTGAAATATCTTTCAACACAGCTAGTTATATATAAAGTTATATTTTGCATGGCATTTATCTTTAGATAAATGAATTTTATAATTGTGTGCAAAATTTTCAATTCACTTAAAAATTTCTCGAGATAGTGTGAATTACACAAAAGGTAAAATTAACATTATAAGGGATCTAATTCGTTCTCCTGTCCGAACTATTGGAACCATATTTCCCAGATTGCGGCTACCCCTATAATTTGAGGGTCAAAATTCCTAATTCCATCAAAAGTAAAAAAAAGTGATATTGGTATGTTTATTCAGAGAAAGTATGTTTTTTTTCTTTTTGTCTAACTTCGTACCTTAAAATATCGTCTGCACTAATTAATTAGAATATTTGCGGTCACCCGTTTGAACCTTTAAAATTGAGTTCTAGAAAGTGAAGATTTGATCATCAGATAAGAAGTTATTTATGGTGGTCCATTTTTTATTTTGTGCACGGCACTACTGCATCGTAGTTCAAATTCTATTTTTCCGTATAATGTAATAGTTTCGCACAAAGTGAAAAAAAAAGAAAAGAATATTTATTACGGATTTCTGTTTTTTTTAAAATTTACTTAGAGTATAAGGTATCATTGAGAAGGAAGGTCGCTTACTTACAATCACATGAATTTCGCTATCAATAACAGGTTCTAAGTTATGGCAATATCTCAGGTTGATACAGCAGCTTTCAGGAACTCGTGGTTTACCTTTCGCCCAACCAGTGAAAAACCAAGAAGTATAACCGGTACTACCACAGCACCTGAACTGTTTCAAAATAGAATATTACTATACATATGAAAATATATTAATTCAAAAATTTAACACTGAATTAATTTATATATTTAACACAAATTTAACTGTGTAGAAGCCGTTTGCAAATGGAGGGGATATATAGGGTAAAATTAACGATCGCCACTTAACAAATGGCATTTAAAAAATTATCTGCTTGTCGCCAATCGTTCGCCAGTTTTATTCGTCAAAAATACATCCCATGTATATTATATTATTATTTTTTTTAAAAAATAAGTATGGAATCATCGTGAATATTTCACAGTTTAAAAATAATTTTATTTCACGCTTGTTTCGTAAAATTTTCCTCGGAGTTCTTAACATTCTTAAAAAAGTTGTTTCTTAAAATTAGCGTGTGCATTTTATTGTTATTTTAACTTTTTTTTTTTTTTTTTTTAAAAAACAGTTTCCCTCTGTCACCCANTTTTTTTTTTTTTTTTTTGAAAAAAAATTTGGAATTCTTGTGAGCATTTTATAATATTCGGAAAAATACTTCATTTCACGCTTATTTCTTAAAATCTTTCTTCATTTCAGAGATGAACCATGCATCGTTTACCATGCTTTGAGAAATAATTCAAAAAATGCCTCTTGCAATTAATATCTACAGTGTATTTTAATCACTTTAAATTTTTGAAGAAGTGGCCAGTAGTAAAATTTCCTCATTTTGCCCTGTAAGGGTAGGTTGTGGCAACTAGTTTTATATATATATATATATGAAATAAGATCTGTACATCAGTGCTTTGTCTCTGAACTGGAAACATACAAAGTTTAGTCAAAATGAATGCTCCAGTTTCATAGGTGTACTACAACGCTACATTTAATAAATGTATTCATTAAAAATGCATATACATGCAGAGGTTGCATAAACAAGTTTTCAATAGTCGTCAATAGATAATGATGGAAGTTCGTCATCACAGTATTTCAGTGGAAACAAAACGGGCAAAAAACAACGCTTTCGCAAAATTTAACAACTGAAATAATTATTATTGTCTATTGTACGTTTTAAAAAAAGAAAACTATTATTATATATTTATTTATTTATTATTATTATTATTACTTTGAAGATCGCGGAATTTTGAACAGAAAATTTCTAAGTTAGGGTTTAATATTTAATTCGTCAAAAAACTATTAAAATACAATAAAAAGTATTACTTGCAATGAAGAAAAATTATTATTGCTATTATTCTAAACAAAATGGCGTAATTTTGCATAAGAAAAAATCCTTAAGTTCAGCATTTGATTAATCTAAAACAATTAATGCAATAAAATGTTTTAAGTGTAATAACGGAGACTTAAATAAAATAAGTCAAACTGTCAGATTTGAAGAGAAATTTTTGAACTATTCAGACCTAATAATCTTAAAACAGTTATTTTTTAAATAAAGAATTAAAAAAATTTATTTTTTATTAAAAAAATTTATTTTAAACACTGTTTGCTTTAAATACAAATGAAATCAAAATGTTTTAATCTGCAGATGCGTTAAAAAAATCGTTATTTTAATTTTACAATTTATTCAAAAGAGATACACGCAATCATGCGATTTTTCATGTAATGGTTCCTCAGTTAATATAATTTGCTTTTAACCAATTAATTCAATTCTGAGAAAGAAGATTTCTACTTAAATTTCAAATATAAATTGTGTTATTGATTCCATGAAGTTATGAATTAATCTAATTTGTCGAACACGTTTCTGTGGAAGATCGGAATAAATTAATTTCTATAACCTTCGTTGGATCTCGATATTCGCATTGTCATTTTGGAGAAGGCTCGGAAATATTTATTGATAATTATTTTTATTTTACAACAGCAGATGTCTACATTCAGCATGCACTGACGGTGAATGTTGACTAAAATATTTTTGTAAAACTTCATTATTTTTATATTACACTGACAATTTTTTACATTCATCATGCAGTGATAGTGAATGTTGAATAAAATATTTTTATAAAAAATCATTATTTCTATATTTTATTGGAAAATATCGATATTAAGCCCGCATATATGTGGAATAAAATATTTTTTATAAAATATCATTATTTTTTTATCTTGCATGCAAATGTCGACATTCAGAATGCACTGTTGAATTATGTATTTTTTATAAAATGTCATTGTTTCTATCTTACACCAATAAAAGCCGATATTTAGATTATACTGGTGGCAGGTAAAAATAACGTAAAGAAACTTTTTTTTATCCAACAATGCAATCCTAAATACCAATATTTTCCTATGTCGGAGTGGAACAATGAAATTAATGATTAAATTTCGAACATTCACCGAAGTGAATATGTGACTGTCGACATTCACCAAAGAAAGCTGACATTTACCGATTTTTAGACTTTCACGGTAATATACATTAATCAATTTTCCTCTGAATCTAATGAAAATTAAAGAAGTTATTGTGTCTGCTTGTATGAAAAAAGTTTTTTAGAGTATCATATTGCTATCAGTAATATTATTTTCCTTGCCGCGTTTACAATGCGTTCTCTCAATTTAACTTGCAACGAAACAAACTAATTCAATAAACACCGCAAGCATGCTATGATACTATCCAAAAATAACAAATGGTGATATTTTACACAAATATGGTTAAATAGGGAATAACACTCACAACATGGCAAATCTTTGTGATATTAATTTTCTCACATTTTTTACGACAAACGATCTTTTACAATTATAGAAAACTTTTATGAATGGCAAAATTACGCGTAAATTTAAATACAAATCACAGTAATAAAGCTTCCTAGAATAGCCTGGTTCTCAAATCACCTAGTAAAAACAACGTAAGCGGAGGAATACAATAGAAGTTTTCTAAATTTCTTTCGGTCTTAGGAAACTTGTTATTTTACACTCAGTCAACCATTCATACAAAAATCTGTCTTTACTTAAATCGATATTTAAGCGTGCGTATCTGTTTTATTTATAAGACTTACGATTTGACAATGTTCTCACACACATAAACTGTCAATTGTGTCGAAACACATTAAAATGAAATATTAATGTTTATAACCGAATTGTGGTTAAAGTTACTCACTATAGATTGTAAAGTGTTCAACATGACATTTATTTCATTATTGGCATTATAATTCCCCATAGTGGTGCTCACGGCAAAACGCAACGTAGCTTGAAGTTTGTCCGTATAATAAAACCCCGCAATGAAGAAAAGAACTTGAAAAATTAATAGCAAAGCATAGGTCATAGCAAGCTGAAAAATAAATGTATATTATATTATTACATAGTGAATAAGTGACAAGATTAATTTGTATGTTAAATATTTCAAGTCACAGCATTTTAATGGCAGCAATCAAATTTCTTTCCCTGCCTTGCAATTTCTGTGTTCTTGCTAATTTCTTCTTGATCGGTTAACTGAATGGATAGTAATTCGAATTTTGTTGATAACTCGTATAAAGTTCAATATAATGAAAGTATTGCACAATAATGATATGAATAATTGCAGCAATTGTAAAAAATATGGGGCCAGTCCGTTGCTACAGTATCGTACGAACTAAAGTTATTAAGAAAAATTTAGGTAAAAAAGATGTATATAAACAATCATGTGTCGTTTCTTCGATATTGTGCTCAGTAAAGTAGCGATGATAGGAACTTAAGCCCTAGCCGTTACCAGAGATAGAACCTCGGTCCTTTCATATAATGACTATAAAGTGCATTTACTATTGTGCCATGCCGACCTGGTGGCCGAGTGGTTAGCGCGCCTGACTGCGGAGCCGCTGGTCGCGGGTTCGAATCCTGCTCAGGGCATGGATGCTTCTTTCTCTCTGTTCCCTTCTCCTTTGTGTGAATGCGACCCACCCTATAAACGGGTTTGTGGTTGCGTGACGTGGGTAACGCTACTCCACCGCCGTGGCTTCGCCACAGGTGCCCACTGGGTAACGTGAAGAGAGTAGCAGTCCCGGCATATGAGGCCAACGGGACAATACATCCCTAGCGCTCGCCATTAAAAAAAAGAAAAATATTGTGCCATTGTGACGTATAGACCTAAATGTATAATCGAATTAATTTTTTTTAAAAGAAAACCTAATTACAAAAAATTTGAAAACATGAACAATAAAATCAAAGCTTATTTTTTTAAAGAAAATTCTTTTCGCACCAGTAGTTTAAAAAACACAGAAAGGAGCATAAGTTATCGCACGTCAGTAACAGAATCTGTTCATCAAGTCTATGTAGGAAATTATTTTCCAACAAAGTAAAAAGACTGAAAAAGGTTTACCAAGTTTTTACAATTGGATTATTCCCACATTCTTTTAGTTATAAAATATTTATAATAAAACTGTTCACATGAAATAAACTTATTACTTACAATTCCAAAATAACTAATACTCTGGTTGAAAAGAACATGACCTGTAAAAAAACTAGCAGCCAATAAGGCGATTCCTGTACAACAGCAATAGTAACAGAAGGTTCCAACTTCATTGATACCAGTCTTATCAACGAAAAAGTCCCTCAGTACAGTATATAGCAATACACCACAACAGAATAGAAGTAATCCTTGTATCTAAAATGAAATAATAATTATACATAAACAAGTTATGCGTTCGTAACAAATTACGCAAGGGAAAAACAAGAACACAAATGAAATCTGTGAAATCATTGTAGAAGAAGGCGTATGTAATAAACATCGAAAATAGGTTTAATTGGAGGTTGGAATCCCCGTCGAAACGAATTCCGCATCCGGCTTGCACCGATCACAGTACTGACGTGAAATATCTTCAGTGGTAGATGGATCATGGGTTAGAGTTTCCATGCCGTCAGGCTAACCGGGGAAGGTTCTCGTGGTTTTCCTCTCCATGTTACGCAAATGCGTGTTAGTTCCATCAAAAAAGTCCTGCACGAAGGCAAATTTCTCTCAATACTTAATCCATGAATTTCCTTTGTCTTCTGGATTGGGTTTAAAATTACAAGGCTGAAGAGTTGAACATTGGTAGCCGTAAACTAAAAATTAGGTTGGCCGTTCAATGACGGTTGTAAAATAAAATAAAACCATTACGGAGCTAAGTCTTGAACTTCGGAATAAGGGTGCTGGGTGTATTACGGATGTAATTTTTCAGGCATTTCATCGTATTCAGAACATTAAGCGTGATAAAATAGTTTTAAAAATTCTAAATTCACGCAACGTCCATTTAATATCACTATTGTAAATGTATATTTATTACTTGTAAAACGAATTGTTGATTTTTAATATCTTTTCAAAAATGACTAATTAAAAAAAAATAATTGGTGGTTTAGGCGTCATTTTTTGAATCCATTTGTATTTTTTCTTGAAGAACAATTTTTATAAAAGAAGTTTGAAAATATATATGCTCGGTAATATATATGCACGGTTTTCTGTAATGACCACCATTAATGCATATTTTTAAAATAAAGTGAAAAAAAGTAGACTTTTTAGAAGATGCCACAAACTAATCTTGGAGTGAGGAATAACCAAAACACTATTGAAATATTACATGTAGGTAGGTACTTTATTTACGTCGAACTAGAGCTGCACAATGGGCTATAGGCGACGGTCTGGGAAACAGCCCCGAGGATGAACCGACATGCCATTGCAATTTTGATCCTCTGCAGAAGGGTTGGCACCCCCGCTTTGGTTGCCCGACGACCTGAGCGTGAAGTCGAGTACTCTACTTTAAAACAGTTTATCAAGAACAGATACCACACAACCTCTGTCCTTACGCAGGCTGATCAAAGTTTCTTTCGAACGATCTACTACAACCTTGAAAAAACATTTACCACTCACTCTTTCCATGCCAACAAATATCCCACCCGTCTACGATACTCCCACAAATACGAAAATATTAAAATCTCTGTCATATATTCATTTTATTCTCTAGCCTCCGGGATAGCCTGGATGGCAGGGCACTGGACTCAAGTTTGTGAGAACGGAGTTAGAATCCAGCCGGTCAAAGACTTCTCGTGTAGTAAAAGGTGACTGACCTCTGGGGGTACTGAATTGAAGATTGATCGTTCACTGGTTACAGGTCAAAATTACTATCTGTGGATGAGTGAATGGATGTATGAATCGCAGAGAGCATCCTTGTGTCGGAATTTTCTTTTAATTGCCACGAAAATGTTGGTAGCCAAAACCTTATTTTAATAAAGTAAAAATATTGCAGTTTCAAACCTTTCATCCTAGAAAGATTAAAAATTATTTTTTAAAGCTTTTTTAAAAAGTATTGTTGTTGTTAATTTACGTCGCACTAGAGCTGCACAATGGGCTATTGGCGACGGTCTGGGAAACATCCCGGAGGATGATCCATCATCACAATTTTGATCCACATGCCATCACAATTTTGATCCTCTGCGGAGGGGATGGCACCCCCGCTTCGGTAGCCCGACGACCTGCGCGCGAAGTCGAGCACTTTACGGTAGCACAGTTTAACGAGGACCAATACCGCACACCCTCGGAAAAAGTATTGTCACTTTGGTCTATGATGACGTTTTAGCTGACGTCACACTAGCGATGGGGTCAAGTTACATTGTCCATTAAAATTTCATGTCAAGGTGGATTTCAGCTGAGCATACAAGACTTTGCGAAAAGAAACCTTATAATTACCTAGATTTAAGATTATTTTCACCTTGAGCCTAGCTTTATTCAAGGATTTTTTTTCAAGCTTTAAAACCCTAAGTCAACCTCGATTTAAGGTTTTTATATAGAAGGTTATTTTCTAAGGTTTTGGATTAGGGTAATGTGCGTAGAATAGATCAGATTGCTGCCACAGATCTCGTTTTAAGGTTAGAAGGTTTACACGTAAACCGTATTACAAACCTTATTAGGTTTACATTGAAAGGTTTTTGTTGAGTGAAAATAAACCCTATTTTGCTATCTGGGAATAGGTCCGACTTGGGCGTGACGTATGTGTGTGGAAGAAGTCGAATTCTGGGCTATAGATAGCGGAACTGGAAAACAAAGAACAATCGCACCTCCTCTGCCTTAATGGCCGACGTCAGCAGCAACTTTCTTCAAACCATGTGTCGTTCCTCAGAGACAGCCAGTTTATAATAGTTAATCCAGGTCAAAAAAACATACGCATTTTTATCTTTCCAGACATTCATTGTAGAGATGAGAGACAAAGATATAGCAACGACAACAATCAAACAACTACTAATAGCAAAAGAATAACGAAGGTTAAAATTTGAAATTAAATTAATACATATAAAAATAAACCAAGAACCAATCGCATAACGACAAGCAAAAATTGCGTTAACCTGAAAGTGACGTCATTGTAAACAAAAAATATCCAGAAATAGTGTCTCAGCAAAATTGTATGATTAAAATTCGTCGCCAAACCAAGGGGCTCCCCTGTACTAGAACTTACTATACTTTATTGTATTCGATATTGAACAAATAACACATTTAAGGTAATGGTGTTTGCGGAGAGGCAGTTGATAAACAATGATTTAGAGTATAAAAAATGGAGATAGCATGAACGCTGTAATTAAATTGAATGGATCAAAAAGTACTAAACATTCATACTAAACGCTTGAGAAAAAATAAAAAACAAGGAAAAGCAATACTCACCCACAAAACTAAACTATTTATTATTAAAAATCCGTTTATGACAAAAGTCGGGATACTAACATCTAAAAGCCTATCCATAGAAATTCAAAATAACGTAACTGTGAGATATAAACAAATATATACAGATTTGGGTCTTTTTTTCCCGTTGCCATTAAAATTTTGTGTCACTAATTTTGTAAGCAGTTTTGATGTTTTCTGTCAGACAAACTATAAAGCTTTGATTATGTCATACTTTATCGAACCTGAAATTGTTTAAAATAAATAAAATTAAGTCATTACATTTTAAATTCTGCCATAGCAGGTTACATAATCATATTTGTTGTCAAATTTAAGACTTGTACGCTTATTCTTTGATCCGATCGTCACTTTGATCAAAGTTCAACAAAGACGAGTCTGTTTTATTTAACTCTTTATAGGGCAATTTTTTTTGTTTTGTATTAAGTCAATTGATAAAAATAAATTCATTTACCTAAAATTAGTTAGATTTTTAAGACCATTTTCTTTAGTGGAAGATGGTGGGGTTTTCAAAAATTTTATCTTCTGTTAAGAATTGGTCATTAACTTGAAACTCTGTGCTTATAAATAAACGAATTTATAAAATCTGCGTGTATAACTACAAATAAACTCGATGAGAAATGATCAAATGAGCGAACACATAAAATAGATTTCCAGTGCTGGCCTTTTTTTTTTTGTACCCACACGTTGAAATTTACTTTTACTCACACATGTAAACTAAGTTTTTGATTGGTATTCTTTTTAGTATTTTCAGAAGTTATCAGCAAATGACAGCACGAATCATGAATGGGAAAATAGTTTCCCATTGACATTCTAAAATTAATGAATTTGGTGGGAAACTTACTTCCCACGACCTAATAAAAGGTTAAAGTAGAGAAAAGACACTTTTAATCCACTCTATCGAAACAAAGCTTAAGTTATCTTTTAACATCAAATGAATTACGGAATCACTAGACTTAGTAATGGTTTTCAGAAAATAATTTTTGCTATTTTATCACTATACCTTTAATGATCAGCTTGTCCAGTGTCCACGTAACGCTTAAATATCAGTACGAGTTGACCACCTTACAGTATTTACTGTGAAAGAAAATGAATCTAAATATCTAACAATCACTGGGAATATTATTTTATGTCTGTACTGTGGTCAGTGTACAAAAGTATTCCTCGTGTTTAAAAATTCACACTTGATAATTTTGTGTAGTACTTAAAAACAGAAAACATTAATGTTTTTAAATAATTTAAAGCATTAAATGGCCTATAACAGGTGTTTTTCAACCCGATTTACTCAGAGGACCGGTAAAATATTTTAATGTTTTATCTTGAACTGGTAAGATTAGTAATTTGGACTATTGGAGTAATATTTACATATACAAGATTGTGGCACTAAAACAATTTCTTGACCTGTTTGCTTCTGATCATTCACATACTTTCCACAAAGAAACATATTTTTAGCCTAAACATATTTAAGATAAATAAAATTTATATTGATTCAAACACAAATATTAATTTTACTATTTAAATAATAAACAAAATTATGTAATCATGTGTAGGCAGAAAAAGAATACAAACGAATATGAAATAAATAAAAAGTAAATAATAAACATTCAAAAAATAAATAACTGAATTTAATGTGATTGCGGTCGTTATATCTTGCTGACTAACATTAAAACTGTAGGTGTCAAACCAACCAGTTACCACAACAAGTAAACAGGACAGGAGTAAGATTAAATCGATTTTGATGTTCGGTTTCAAAAAAATCATAATCGAAAATAGTTTCACTTAAATAAGTTTAAGAAAAAGGCAATAAATATTAATATAAAAAATATATATATACATATAAAAAAATACTACTTATATTTTCATTTAAATTTGTTTCTCAAAGTTAGACAGAATTCAATCTACTTTCTACTATTAGTACATAAAATATCTGTTTGATCAAGAAGGGAAAAAGGTCAAACTGACCATTCAAGATTTAAACCATTTAATATAGTACAACTTAGCAAAACAGTCACATGGAACGCCACCGTGTTATCAATGAATGTGGAATGAGAAGCTGCTTTTTTCTATTTTAAAACTAATTTTATTGTTTTTAAATTTTAACCACGTTTTACTTAACTTGCTTTTGAGTCTGTTCGTGTGGGGGTAAACCTTGTCCTAGTAATCTTAATTTCGACCACTTTTTGACTAACAAGAGAGCTCAAATTTCACAAGAATGTGACAGAATCATACGCAAATTTCAATCATTTCCTGGTTGCTGTAAGCAAAATTTATTGCAAACAGGAATTTTGAAAGATACTCGACCGAAGAAAACTAACAGATACAAAACTAAAATTACAGGAAATATAATTAGATTAATTAATTATTAATTATAAATAAATTATAATTTTCTTTTAAAAAAACCAAGTTTTTCAAAAGGTGAAAATAAATTTTTGTCACACCTAATATATGGAATACTTAAATACGTAATATCCTTCTCAGTTTTCGAATGTAATGTGTTCATTTTTTTTCGTTTGGCAAAAATTTAAATTTAATTTTTCCCTTTTAGTCCACTTGAAAAACTTTGTATTTAAACTTTTTTTTAAAGCTTAATTTTTCCGTAATTGATCTAAATTAAAGTGTGAGAACGGTATGCAAGAAAACTAACAGATACAAAACTATAATTACAGGAAATATAATTAGATTAATTAATTTTTAATTATAAATAAATTATAATTTTGTTTTAAACAAACCAAGTTTCTCAAAAGGTGAAAATAAATTTTTGTCACACCTAATATATGGAATACTTAAATACGTAATATCCTTCTCAGTTTTCGAATGTAATGTGTTCATTTTTTTTCGTTTGGCAAAAATTTAAATTTAATTTTTCCCTTTTAGTCCACTTGAAAAACTTTGTATTTAAACTTTTTTTTAAAGCTTAATTTTTCCGTAATTGATCTAAATTAAAGTGTGAGAAAGGTATGAATGTCCTCATAAAACAACAGAAAGGAAATGAAAACAAAACAACTATAATTTAAATAACAAAAACATAAAACGTGACAAATATATTTTATTTAGATAATGAATTTGATAATCAACATCAATTAAGTAAATATTTAATGAAATATAAATAAACATATTACCAATCCTTAACACTAGGAAGGTTTTTGCTCTAAAACATCACGTTTACATAGTTGAATGTTAGCAAGAAAACTTTCAAGCATTAAGGGTTAACATAACAGTACATGTTTACTGACAGAAAATAATCTCACTTAAAATAAAAATTGTAAATAAAAAGTCAATAATCAGGTATATTTGGCACAACATAACAAAATACTAAGTTTGAATCAACAAGAAAATATTAAATTGATAAATAACCATCATTAAAATATCTCTATGAGCAATAAAAATACGTTAATAGGTATAACACAAGTTGTTTTATCTATCAAAAACATTTATTATAATCTCAATTGATTTTGATATATCTAGAAACATTGAATAACTTTCGCACAAAGTCTGCCATTTTGCTGATATTTGTGTATATCAACATAGGGATTATTTCAGAACATTCATCAGCATATTTTACAGCATTTTTCTTTCAATTTCTATATCTAAATATTCATAAATCATACAGATGTAGTCAAGATAGCCCAGATATCCAAAAACCCAAATATAAAAATAGAAAAAAAAATTTTAAAAAAATCTAGCAGCAAATTGTTAATTACATTTCTTTAAGTAAGTGGTGAAAAATTTATTCCAAACTCACTCGTCGGGGTCAAAATAGTTTTTGGGTATTTTAATAAAAATTAACCAATTCATTGCTTCCACCGATTATGCATTTAAAGAGGATGTTATCAACAGTGGTTTGCAAAAGCGAATACTAGATTATTAATAAATAATTTTTGAACTTAAAAAGATGCATTTATATTGTCACGGGCAGGCATAATTTTGACTTATCAAAAAAATATTAAAAAGTCATTCATTTCTTAGGCTCTAAAACATATCCTTCTTCAAAATGTTCCCAAGAACTATTTTTTAAATCAATTAGTTTTAATTCTTTTTATTTAATTTAGATTATAAACCCAATCAAGTGATGAAAGCTATATCATTTCTAAACAATTTAAAAGATGGATAACCCATCTTTAAAATTGACAATAATTTTTTAATTAATATTTTTATTAAATTAATATTTTAATTCACTATTTTTTACTAACATAAACATTTGAACAAAACAAATATTTATGTTAGTAAAAAAAAATATTCCAGCCTTAATTTTTATAATATAACTCCTATATTATGCGTAAAGATTAACGTCCAAGCTCTGTATTAGTTTTTGAGTGCATAACTAGTGTTTTCAGACTTTTTTTTATTTACGAATTATATTGAGTAAAAAAAAAAAAAAAGGTCTTTTATCAAATATATAGTAATTTATTTGGTTCCTTATTTTTATATAGTAATTTAAATTTCCTTTATTTTATAGTTTAAAACTAATTCAATTTATAAAACTTATAATAAAAAATCTTTAATTAGCAGAGAAGATTAAATTACTTTTATCACTAAAGAAAGATTCAGAAGGTATAAAATAGCGTTAGTTATTTTTTTAAAAATTCTACTAAAATTCTGTTTTTAACACTGTTTCTAATAACAATATTTATTTTAAGCTTAAGCACTTTAAGGTGAGAAAGAAATGGAAGTAAATACTTGTACCAATCATATATTATTTTAAAAATCATGTAAGTGAAAAAAAAAATCAAATATTAACAATTAAAGTTTTTCAAGTAGAAGGAATAAACATTTTACCAAATATATCATACTTTAACAGGGTGCGTAGCCAGATTTTTCAACAAAAAATAAGCTCCTTTATGTACATTTTAAGCACTCAAAAATTTTTTTTAATCATTTTCCAAAAAAAAAAAATTCATAATAAGGATCTGTGCAATAATAAATTTTTTTTCTTCTATTGTTTAAAGTTCTTTATTTATAAATATAAAAATCAATAAAACTCAAAAACATTTTCAAGAACTTTACACAATCATGATAAAATAACTAGTTTCTGATAAATATTGCAGAGAAAATTGTGAAAATCATGCATTTTTTGTAATTTAGAAACGACAATCAATACAGTTAAAAAAAACAAAATCTCTTTTTAAAAGATAGAAAATTAAGCACTTTTTACAAACCACGAATAAAAAAAGCACAAAGGGCTTTTAAAAAACGTAAATCAAAAATAAGCACCTTTAAGTATTTTTTAAAAAAGCTATGCACCCTATTTCATAAACTAAATAATTAATAAACTAATAAATTGTTTTTAAATATTGGAGAACAGAAATAGACACATTAGTTCGTAAACATTTACTTAAAATAATTTGGTTGTTTTATCACAGAAAGCAAGACAAAAATTACTTCAAAATGAATCAATGTGATTAAACAATTTCAAACTTAACACTCAAAAGTACCTCATGCATGGGACTGTTTGATATCAAATAACTCATATATTTGCAAGTTTTTTTCATTGCACTTGAATATATGTGTATGCTCATAAAATAACATTCATAAATATATTAAGTTTATATTTTTTTTTATCAACAACTGTGGTCCATTTTCTTATTAAATTTGTATTTAGGTCAGTTCATTAAGTAAGAAAATATGAAGGATGGTATTTTTTATCAATAGCTTTTTTTCCAGTTGTCAAATGTGTGCACTTTATATAAAAGATATGGCAGTCAATAAAATAAATATATAAATAATATAAATTATTGAAAATAATATGATAAAAATATCTTAATTTTTATAAAAAAAAATATCATTAACATGGTTTTATAAAGAATAATAAATTCATAATGTAAATAAAATTTCAACATAAAATACAACACAAAAATGAATGGACATAATGAATGAATAATAATCTCATTGCATATCAACGTTTTCGTATCATTTGACATACAGAGACAAAAAAGGGAGTAAGAATAATCTGAAAAATACTATCACAAACGGAAAAAATAATTATGTTTAATGATGAGGAATGCTTTCTTTATTACTTATATACTTTTAATAACAGTAATAATAAAAAGGTCTTTTTGATTATCTTGATTTAAAAAATTGAAAAATGCTAACGGTTTAAGACTGTAAATTTACAACATTCTCCATTTTGAGCTTTAAAGTAAAAATAACACAGATAATATGATACTTAAAAAATTAGTATATTAGCTATATAAATTAATTGCAATTAGGACCTTTTGCAAATTAGGTGTAAAGAAACATTAGTTTTGAATTCATGAAAAGTGTGTAAAGCATATTTAGTGTTATTTAAATAAATTTTAAAATAATATACCTTAACGCTGCAAACCAGGTATAGCTTTAAATAGTTTGACTAGATAAAACATATTGATTTAAGCAGAATAACAAAAAAATTATGTAAAACACAAACAAGAATGTACATTAAATAACATTCAACATGTTCAAAAACAAAACATTCATAAATATGAGCAAAACTTAGGAATGCTTAAAGATCACTTAATTCACTAAAACATTAAAAACTGTACTTAACGAATGATCCAGTAAAAATATCAACATGTTAAAACCTCTACAAAATCTTACAGACATGTGATTGCTAGGAGAAGAAATTATCTGAAATTTTTTCCCTAATGCTATTGAATATACTTGATATATATATATATATATATATATATATATATTTTAGA